GAGCCTGTTGTTGGGGTGTAATTATTAACCCACCACTTGTGCCTCAGCCTCTCGTGCCTCTCTGGACGTGGCCCCTCTGGGCATGGGCTGCCAGCGCCAATCCCTTTGTAGCACGGCACAGGCGGTGCCAGATTGCTGCTTGCTGGCAGGATCCCATGTTTGCTGAAAGCCCCGCGAGCCACCGCAGCCCGGCGTCGGGATCGTGGCGTCCCTCAGAGGCAGAGCACATCTGGCTCCTGGCACGTCCCTCCCGCAGCCTCTCGGTGCGCCTGGCACCAAGCTGCGAGGGGAGGCAGAGATTCCTCCTTTGGACCCTCTGTGCTGGAAGCACGGCAGATGAGGAGAGGATTTTGCACATCTCTGGAGATGTTTTTCTTCCAAGGAGCAGTTGCTGCCTGGGCCAGCGGAATCTTGGGGTACTGAATGGAGAGAAAAAAAACACAGGACACCTGAGCTGGCCATGCACCCACTGCTGCTAGTCAGGGCAAGCATCGGGTTGGAGGGAATACGTGCACTGTCACAGCCCTGGACAGGGCAGCGGGGACGGAAATGACCCTGAGGCCAGCAGAGCTGATCCAGCCTTGTGGTTTTAGTCTCCTGCTCCTACTTTCTCTGCGTGTACATACCAGGGCCACATGAATCATTTAATGATTCAAGGAGATCTTGGCGGGGGGGGCAGAGAGAAAGCCCGAAGTGGCCAAGGTCTTTGCATGTCCTTCATGGCGTTGGCTGGTACGTCCTGGTACATCACCCCTGTCCCCATCTGCCTGCTGAGTCCCGAAATGTTGCTGTGTAAAGCGGGGTGGGCAGCACGTGTCCGCACTCCATGCGGGACAAGCCTCCAGCATGCGTCTCGCTTCCCCTTCCTTCAGCCCCTTCTGCTTTCTGTGCCCTCTGTTGCTCCACAAAGGCCTGGGAAGCACAAGGCACTTCCCCCTTCTCCCGAACCCAGTGGCTGTGGCACACAGAGGCAGAGCCTCTCCGCGCAGGGCCAGCCTTGGGCATGGGCCTCCCACGTGGGAGCCAACCCAGCCGGGGATGCTCCGCTGCCACAAGCCACAGCGAGTGCCACCTTTGGGGCCGCTGGTGCGGGCAGAGCCCCAGGGCTCAAACCCTCCCTGGAGGTGAGCACCGCCTTGCTTTGGGGCCGGCAATGGAGCCGTCTGGCCCCCGACGCAGCAGGAAGGAGGCTGGGATCCTCCTTGCTGTTGTGTTTGGATCGGTTCTTCCCCTCACCGTGGGGCACCGACCTGCTTTTCCGCTGACACCAGGGTGCTGTGTGTCCTGCCATAGGCAGAAGGACAGAGGATGCCCAACACGGGGAGGGGGGCAGCACAGTTGGTAGCAACATCCCCAGGCCGGGCTGCCGGGAGCAGCCTGGGGCTGGTGTATGGATCTCCCCGGGACACCTGCCCACAGCAGGCCTGAGCCGGGGGAGAGGGAACCTGCCTGGGGATCCAAATCTGTCCTCGTGCAGATCCGGAGCAGGTGGTGGGGAGAGACTGGAGAAACAGCCTTCAGGCCCTGGTCTATGGGAAAGAGACCCCCGCGCCCCCCAGCAATGCCCCAGGCCTGAGAGCAGCCCCCTTCCCAGGCAGGGTGGCCGCATGGCGCGCACGTGTCTCCATGGGCTAAGGACATGTGTGACAACCCGCCCGTGCGGCTTTGGGGAGCTGGCTCGGACGCCCGGGCTCGTGGCGGGAGCTACAGGAGTTGGGGTAATGCAAGGAGGCTGTGGCTGGGCGTGCTATTGCGTGCACAACACCCTGCTGCTGGTAGCCCCAGTGCCACGATCCTGATAAGACCCCCCCGCACGCCTGCTGCTCCCGATAACGCGGGTCTGGCAGCCAGAACCTCGCAGGGATCCCGGGCGTCCTGGCCCTGCTCTGCCGCTAGCACCGTGCTCGGGGCATCACCCTCACGGTGACAGTGGCCCCATGGTGGGGTCCTCACCCCCGTCCCCCACCAGGGTCGGGAACAAGGATGCGTCTCCCTGAGCGCAGGGGGCCATGTCCGCTGGGCTCACCCTGCCGCCGTCCCCAGGTACAGCCTGTACTCCCGCACCCGCCTCCTGCCACTCCATCCCCCAGCCCGTGGCCTTCGGTGGTGAGTCGGGTTTGGGGTAGGGAGGTGCCGTGCCCAAATTGCCCAGAGTTTGTTTGGTTTAATTTGGGGATGGGGTAGCTGGCTTTGTCCCTCCAGCCTGGAGGGCTGCAGAGACCTTGTGTCCTGATGTTTTTCTGTCTGTCCATCCCCCAGCGGTGAAAATCCTGCCCATCCCCGTGCTCTCCAACAACTACAGCTACCTCGTCATCGACACAAGCTCTGGGCGAGCGGCTGTCATCGACCCTTCTGACCCGCTGGCTGTGCAGGTGAGACCCGCAGAGTCCTGGAAGGGGCTCCCCAGGCTGAATCCATCCTCTGCCCCTTGGGAGGAACGTGGTATTGGCCAGGGGGCTGGGGGGATGGGAGAGGCCTCTCCGCAGGGACGGGGAGATCCAGCTGCTCCCATGGGACCCCCAATGGACAGACAGAAGTTGGGGAGATGGAGGGGGCTATATGGCTGATCCCTGTGGGCGCATCCCTGTCTTGTCATTTGCCACAGTCTTTGCCTCTTCAGTCAGGGGAATCTGTTTTTGGGAGGCAGGAGGCAAATGTGTCCCTAATCTGTAGCTCTCGGTGGGGCAACCTTGGGCTGGGGCAAGGACAGGAGGGATCTTGGGGTGGGGGGCTGCAGATCTGCTGCATCTGGCACTGCTGGGAATTGGCCTGGGGGTGCTGGGCTGGTCCAGAGTGGGGATTTGGGATCAGATGAGTGCTGAGAACCTGTCATAGACCCCACACACACCATGTGTCCCTGCCCCCCACCTCTCCCTGCAGGCTGTCATTGAAGAAGAGGGGGTGCTGCTGGAGGCCATCCTCTGCACCCACAAACACTGGTAAGGGGCAAGCAGGGGCCCTGGGGGGCTGGCGTCTGCCATGGGTTAATGCTGGAGGTCCAGGGGGGCACATCAGGATGGACACAACAGCAGTGCAGGAGGAGGCCGTGGTCCCCCGGAGCAGAGCCTGGTTCCTGGGAGGCGGAGATGTGAGCTCCCCTGTTCCCAGGGCTCTCCGTTTGTAGTGGGGGGTTGTTGAGGGCAGTGATCCCCCAACGTGGGGGGAGACGCCTGGGGGTGCCGACTTCTCCGCCCGCAGGGACCACAGCGGGGGCAACGCGGCGCTGCGCCAGCAGCACGGTTCCTGCAAGGTGTACGGCAGCGCCCTGGACGCCGTTCCGGAGCTCACCAAGTAAGGCCGGGCCGCCAGGCCCCCTCCGCGGGCAGAGGCCCGGCACGCTCGTGACAGCGGTGTGCTGGCAGGGCTGGGGCGGTTGTGCGGGTGCCGCGGGCCAGGGGGCTGCCCTGACGTGTCCCCTCGGCCGCGCAGCCCGCTCGCGCACAAGGAGAGGCTGAGCGTGGGCTGCCCGCGCTTCGGGGCGCTCGCCACCCCCGGGC